AACAAGAACCAAGACAATGCCATCATGTTGGAAGCTACCAAAGTCCTGTCCACCACTTACAACAATGGACGTCAAAGGAGACTACAAGAAGCCATTGACATCAACGTCAAAGAAAACTACAAAGGGCCATTGATATCAGCGTCAAAGAAAACTACAAGAGGCCATTGACATCAGCGTCAAAGAAAACTACAAGAGGCCATTGACATCAACGTCAAAGGAGACTACAAGGGGCCATCGACATCAGCGTCAAAGAAAACTACAAGAGGCCATTGACATCATCGTCAAAGAAAACTACAAGAAGCCATTGACATCCGCGTCAAAGAAAACTACAAGAGGCCATTGACATCAGCGTCAAAGAAAACTACAAGAGGCCATTGGACATCAGCGTCAAAGACAACTCCAAGATCCATTGACATCAACGTCAAAGAAAACGACAAGAAGCCATTGACATCAACGTCAAAGAAAACTACAAGAGGCCATTGACATCAACGTCAAAGAAAACGACAAGAGGCCATTGACATCAGCGTCAAAGAAAACTACAAGAGGCCATTGACATCCGTGTCAAAGGAGACCACAAGAAGCCATTGACATCAACGCCAAAGGAAACTACAAGAGGCCATTTGCATCTGCGTCAAAGGAGACTACAAGAAGCCATTGACATCAACGTCAAAGAAAACGACAAGAGCCCATTGACATCAGCGTCAAAGAAAACTACAAGAGGCCATTGACATCCGTGTCAAAGGAGACCACAAGAAGCCAATGACATCAACGCCAAAGAAAACTACAAGAGGCCATTGACATCTGCGTCAAAGGAGACTACAAGAAGCCATTGACATCAACGTCAAAGAAAACTACAAGAGGCCATCAACATCAGCGTCAAAGAAAACTACAAGAGGCCATCGACATCAGCGTCAAAGAAAACTACAAGAGGCCATTGACATCCGCGTCAAAATAAACTACAAGAGACCATTGACATCAGCGTCAAAGGAGACTACAAGAAGCCATTGACATCAACGTCAAAGAAAACTACAAGAAGACATTGACATCAACGTCAAAGGAGACTACAAGAGGCCATCGACATCAGCATCAAATGAGACTACAAGAGGCAATTGACATCGGTAGATACCAGCCAGTCATGAACCGTGACCAGCCTCGTGCTTGGGACTTACTGATTTATTTAATCTATTCATCTGTGCCACCACCCACCTATCTGTTGACCATTGACATCAGCGTCAAAGGAGACTACAAGAAGCCATTGACATCAACGTCAAAGAAAACTACAAGAGCCCATTGACATCAGCGTCAAAGAAAACTACAAGAAGCCATTGACATCAACGTCAAAGAAAACTACAAGAAGACATTGACATCAACGTCAAAGAAGACTACAAGAGGCCATCGACATCAGCATCAAAGGAGACTACAACGCCAAAGGAAACTACAAGAGGCCATTGACATCTGCGTCAAAGGAGACTACAAGAGGCCATCGACATCAGCATCAAATGAGACTACAAGAGGCAATTGACATCGGTAGATACCAGCCAGTCATGAACCGTGACCAGCCTCGTGCTTGGGACTTACTGATTTATTTAATCTATTCATCTGTGCCACCACCCACCTATCTGTTGACCATTGACATCAGCGTCAAAGGAGACTACAAGAAGCCATTGACATCAACGTCAAAGAAAACTACAAGAGCCCATTGACATCAGCGTCAAAGAAAACTACAAGAAGCCATTGACATCAACGTCAAAGAAAACTACAAGAAGACATTGACATCAACGTCAAAGAAGACTACAAGAGGCCATCGACATCAGCATCAAAGGACACTACAACGCCAAAGGAAACTACAAGAGGCCATTGACATCTGCGTCAAAGGAGACTACAAGAGGCCATCGACATCAGCATCAAATGAGACTACAAGAGGCAATTGACATCGGTAGATACCAGCCAGTCATGAACCGTGACCAGCCTCGTGCTTGGGACTTACTGATTTATTTAATCTATTCATCTGTGCCACCACCCACCTATCTGTTGCCTGTTGCCCTTTCCTAGGCTAGTTAATCCAGCTGGCTTCCATGTGTCCATTGCCAACTACCAATCAATAATCCCCGTGTCTCCCTTTGTCCATTGAAAATTGAACTCCTGGCTTCTATCTACCCATTTCTAATCGTTAATCAACGGTAATTAACTGTTGGCTTTCCTTGTTAATGTTTCCACCTCTGTTATCTGATTATTTTTGTTATTCTCAAATGTACATATATTTGCCCTCCGAATCCTTGTGGTCATTCATCTGATGAGTTGAGTGAGTGAGTTGGGTTTTTCACGCCGCTTTTAACAGTATTCCAGTTATATCGCGGCGTGTCAGCTTAATGTGGGAGGAAAGCCCGAAGTGATGCAGGTCTAAGACGTTTACCACTTCAATGAAACCCACGAGCACGGGTATGGTGCTGACAAACCTAGAAACATAATTGGGGCGAACAGGGATTCGAACCCACAATCAAAGATTTCTTGCGTGCCCAAGGGACGCAACTCTGCACTGCGAATCGCAGCACCCGTGCCCCCTCATCTGATGAAGGAGTAAGCATATACCCAGAAACGTTCCTCATAATAAAGAAGTTCCCATCCTTAAATTATAGAGAAATAGAGAAGGACCAATCCTTAAATTATAGAGAAATAGAGAAGGACAAATTGTTAAATTATAGAGAAATAGAGAAGGACCAATCCTTAAATTATAGAGAAATAGAGAAGGACCAATCCTTAAATGATAGAGAAATAGAGAAGGACCAATCCTTAAATTATAGAGAAATAGAGAAGGACCAATCCTTTAATTATAAAGAAATAGAGAAGGACCAATCCTTAAATTATAGAGAAATAAAGAAGGACCAATCCTTAAATTGTAGAGAAATAGAGAAGGAACATCGGGCTACGAAGAATCGCGGAATGTCTGTAAGTCCTTAGTTTTAGCCAGGGACGTTATTTATTCAACAGGTATATTTAATCCATAAATCCGGCATTACTTATTCAACTTTATTTTCAAATATTTGTAATACAATTCCCCATAGAATATGTTCATCATTCAACAATTTGTCTTATATTGAATATTCATCAAATAAGAATTGTTGAAACCAGAAAATATACACACATACACGCCCCTCTCTCTCTTATAGTAGAGTATTATAGTTTACCAGGAACACATTCTACAATCTACATTCTACAACCCAGGTTAGAAACAGCTTGTCAGCCAGTGTCTACATGCACCTTGGACTGTTTTCGAAATGTTTCACATTTTGCAATCTCTTCCACAAACCTTTTTCAGTCTTGAATCTCGTTTATTTGAAAGTTCCAATTCATACAATCACCTCGCTTGTAGTATTTACCGTATAAAGGTAAAGATAAGGTTCTAGCTCGACACAGAGTTGGCTTGAAAAGCAAAAACAACTTTACATGCTATGGATATCTTGAATGAAATGTTGCAGGTCCCAGGGAAACGTTCTTGAGTTAGTGAGTGAGTTTTAAAGTCCAGTTTTAGCAATGTTCCAGCAATATCACTGCATGATATCTTGAAGCATCGGCAGAAACCTTTGGTTTGATACAATACATGTCCCCCAAAATTAACTGATCGGTCCGTTATAACATGTGTGTATAGGCGTGGAACGTATCATCATGCACTGTCTACATTACACCTAAATGTTCTTAGATGGCAAAGAGACCGCCTCCGTGGTCTAGTGGTAGAGCGTCCGCCCGGAGAGCGGAAGGTCCGGGGTTCGATTCCCGGCCGCGTCATACCAAAAGACGTTAAAAGATGGTACTTGTTGTTACCCTGGCACTCGGCATTAAGGGGCTAAAACAAGGACTGGTCGGCTCGGAGCCAGTACACTGTGTCTGAGTGGGGTATTCATGTTAAACTGCGACATGGTATCTCAGTGTGCTAGCACTATAAATCAGCATCAGTCCGAACTAGTACAAGCAGCCACACACACCCACGTGTATGCACGTCGCTATATGTGCAAGTGCAATAATCTTGGACGCGACGTTAAACCCCATTTCACCTCACCTAGATGGCAAAGTGTGTGTAAGTCATGGTAATCACTCACTGGTTTTGCATCTGTTGGTGCTACGTCCTACACAACAGTTCAACGTGTCCACTAGGATTCCATTTTTATCAATGTAATTCGTTGTGATACCAGGGCTTTCGGGGCATACTAGATCCCCTGTATTCGTGTTTCGAAATACACAGTTGAGAGTGACCAGCAGCCAGTTTACTATTAGCTCTGTCATGGCTGACTTGACTTGATAATCGAATCCCAACCGTACTTCATTGTTTAATCTTTCCTCCACTGGTTTGTCTGTATTCATAGAGATTAATACACGAGTGTCTGTCAGATACCGTTCATCTTACAACAAGCGAAAGCGAGTTAGATACGCTTTGAAACAACTCATTTTGAGATAAATGATATATGACATGCAGTCATCTGTTTCTTGTACACCCTAATATTGCGCCATTTTAGCATCGAATCGATGTACATTTTGTCTTTTGTCATGATCACAGTGGCGCATTAATACGTAACACAACGGTCATTAGAAACGTCATCCGACGTACTGCTTACTACTCATAACTAAGGTGACCCTACACAAAAAAATATTCCGACATATCCGTGGATTATCAATGCAATGCACACTAGACACGACTAGATAACATTTATTCACACGCTAAAACCATAAAGTTTAACATACATAGAGAAATTCGACTGAAGCATGAGTACTTTATCAATGACTTACGATCAGGAAAGTAGTCCGTCATCAGTCCTTAAGTCATCACCATGGAGTAGCCAATCACGGGCCTGGAATTCCATCTCGCACATGTTTGATACCAGTTATATCAAATGGGTTTCTCAACGACAGTTGTGTAAAAAAATATCTTTCTTGTTGCCTTGATGTACCTGTAATTATATTATTATATATTTTGACCACATTACTCCCTGATACTTGTCTTCACACTTTTAATAAATTTCATTCCTGTTTCGAAAACGCGCCTCTCTGTGAATCTCAGCACGTCTCTGCCGCCGCACATATACTTTGCAGAACAAGCGCATGAGATGATCTCTGAAGGGCCTGTAGGTGACAGTATATATGATGACATTCCACAGACTGCTTGACAAAAGAGACACGGATGACACCTTACTAAGAACCCTTGGGACCTGTCCCCTTGACGACACCAGGCTCCACGTCACGCTGACGATGAAGGGAACGTACGAGAGACAGAAGACGCCAGCAGCTAACGTCACCATCAACGGGAATTTTGCGGTGTTCTCTTGAACGTCGGTCCCTACAGAATGAACACGTCGCTTTCCGCACTTCAGTTCTGCAGAGATCATGCAAGAACAGATGACGATGATGGCGAGGGTTAGGAGCGGGATGCCTACAGAGGCCACCACGGTCGATGTAGTGTCAAAGTCGACCAAACACATATGTAGATTGGAGTTGTAGTAAAAGTCCATATCAGGGAACACTATCATAAGAAACCTACCCACACTCAGAAGCACAGTGGTACCAATGGCAAGAAAGAACACTTTTGTCGTGACAAGTCTGGTGTAGGCTAGAGGTCTTGATATTGCTATGTACCGATCTATGACTGCAAGAGCTATGTTGAATATTGTCTGGCCTGTCAACAAAGTTGCAATACTGGACGCAACGCCTATCAAATGTTCAGAGTAGGCAAAGTGGTTGAGAAAGGCTGATGGCACGACAAAAGTCAAACAATAGACTCCAAGACAAAAGTCACATACTGCTCTGTAGGTTATGAGCCACAGTGTTGGCATATGTAGCTGTTTGGACAATCCTATTACCAGAACAATGGCACCATTGGTGGTCATCACGGCCACTGACACCAGGAGGTAGATGACACCAAGAATGACGTTATCTCCTTTCGCGACATCAGTTATATTATCAGTCTGATTTATTCCCTCCTGTTCATGCATCTGTGTTTGCGTCTTCGAACTTTATTAAATGTTTTACTCCTCATCAGTTAGTTCCGTATCATCGTATTCGGTCGGCATAACACTGAGTTCAAGTATAAAAAAACGTCAACAACAGACAATAACAAGTCTCGATTATCCACCGAAACAGATTCAAAATAGCAAAATAGCGATAAAAAGGAAATAGTCACGTATGTCACATGTAAAGATGGACTTGCCTCCGTGAACTGAGCTGGTGCAGGCTTAATTCCATCAGATGTTTTGTACGCTCATAGTCATTATCTGGTGCAAAGTGACAGTAAATTGGTATCCTTACTGTGAGAAGACAATAGCCCAGTTTCCCTCCAGAACATCAGCATGGGATCAGACTCAGATCGCGGACACGCCTCAAACACTTTTTGCGTCTCTTTCCCACTCACTCCGTTCTGCAGCTCAAACGCTGTAGTCCGCTCATATTCCTGACTTAGATTCCCCTTTCTCAGCAATACAGTTTTTTTTAAATACGCTGCATATAGGCAACGTACATATAACACTACAATCACATGTTCACAGCTTTAGTCATAGTTTCTGAAGAGCAAATCATCCAGGCGTTTCTTGTTAACGTCACATCCATTGACAGATGAAGAAAGCATATCTGCAACCCGTCGCACAATGACAGATCAGTGATACAAAAGGCCTTCGAGGAGTCGTCGTTTAATTACTGAAGGCAGTACCAATATAGATGGAGAGGCGGATAGAACGGATGTGTACTCATGGACCGGGGATGATTCAGAGGAAGTGGATTCTGGTGGCATGTGCCTCCAGCATCTTATGATGTGATGGATACGTTGACAAGTTATTATACTCATTAGACATGTATTAATGAATATGTTTTGTTCCTTCGGTGGGATATTATTCATTTCAGATTTGCAGAAAAAGACATCCAAATACAATGGTAAACTATTAAAACAAGGTTTTTGTGTTACAAAGCAACTTTAGCGCTCGCGTGATCAGTATACAGTAAAGTACGGTTATAACGAACTCAAAGGGACTACTCATTTTAGTTCGTTATAACCGTAGTTCGTTATTAGCATATATACAGCATAACTACAGCAAATAGTCGGGACCAAAAAGGTCAGTCCGTTATATCCGTCAGTTCGTTATAAGCGTGTTCGTTATAACCGCAGTTTATTGTACTTCAGTCAGATAATGGTATGTTGGTTTAATGTGTGAGAAAGCCTTATGATGTGACAAGTCGTAGGCGTTATATCAGTCTTATGTTCTAAGTGCATGGAGATGGAGCTGACAAACCAAGGATAATATGATGAGAGCGAAACTGCGATTGAAACCAGCGATCACCGGAGTCTGGCGCGACAAAGGGAGACAATTCGGCAGGGCGGTTAAGACGACCGTGTCAGTAGCAGTATAGCGAGTGAGTGAGTTGATTTGACCGCTTTTAATAGCTTTCCAGTAGTAGAAGTAGAAAAAGAACTATAATAGGTAGTAGTAGAAGAAGTAGTAGTAGTAGTAGAAGCAGCAAAATTTTCTTGCGTGCCCAAGGGACGCAACTCTGTTCAGCGAATTGCGGCCACAACTGGGCAACTCGTGCCCCCAGTAGTAGTAGTAGTAGTAGTAGTAGTAGTAGTAGTAGTAGGAGAAGAAGACTTTAGACGTTGGGTCTACAATTAACGTCAGCCTCTAATTGACGCCGGTCATATAAATATTCATAGCTACTTACTACTTCAAGTTTCCTACCATTCAATTACCATATTTCATACCTAAAAATGGGCCCGCCATTTTTAAAAACAATAAATTTGGTTTGGTCAATATTAACTTCCATACCCTATTGATCACAATAACCTTGTAAAACATTTTATATGTTCTGTAGACCAAGAATTGTATCTGAAACAACAATGAGATTATCAGAAAAAGAGAGAGCAATACTATGTCGACAGAAACGGATGATTAGCCGCTCACATTGCAGGCATGGGACGAGTTGCTGCAGGTTGATAGGTTGATTTGCACGCAAACTTCGTCCCAGTACTTCACATAGGAGTTCGATCGATGCCAGATCAGGAGAATAGGCAGGCCACTGCATTCTGGTGAACCCCTTTCGGTTGATGAAGTCAGTAACCACACGTACTTTTGAGGCCGAGCATTATTATCCTACAGTGTGGCACCAGGTCCAATGGCAGTCAAAGTGGCCGAAGAATCTCGTCGCTGCCGCGAATAACTGTCAGATTTACATTGACATGATAAAGTGGAGTTCTATGATTAAAACTCAAACCTCCCCATACCATCAGTGAGCCACCAGCAAACAGGTCACGTTCCCTGACTGGGACATCTTGAAACCGTTGTCCTCTGTGGCGAAACACTCCCACACGACCATCATTGACCTGAATGCATCAATTTGCGACCACTGCTGCCTATACCAGCGTAAATGAATTCGACACCATGCAAGACGGGCAGTTCTGTGTCGTACCGGTAGAGCAGGTCTTACGACTGGACGCCTGGAGTTGATACCGGCAGTTCATGATTGTTTGTGCTGTTGAAGTCGCAGTGCTCCTGCTGTTGCGAACCTTTGGCATAAAGCTGTCTGAATGAGATAACGGCCCTCAGCTCTTGTGGTTGATGTTGGTCTGCCTGAACGAGGTCGATCCTTGACTTCTCCATAGGTCTGGAACCTTTGCCACAAACGATGGATATCGGATGGTGTCCGTTGGAGCCGTCTGGCAACTTCTCTGATGGCTATTCCATCTCCATATAATTCCTTCTTCTGTCCACTTGGTTTAATGGTCGTCTTGGTGCCCTGGTGGTTAAACTAATTCAATGACAGGATTCAATAATGCCAACTTTTACACCCCTGTGTGCAGAACATCCACAGACATCATGGAAAGCATGTTCATTCTTGCAGTGATGCCTTTCTCCTTTTCCTGACTGACCTGACTTATATTTGCCAAATTTTAACCAAAAACTGATCTAGGGAGCAGTCTCCCAAACACAACCAAAAGTTCTGGCCAGTCAAAAATCATATTGGATTTGAATGCATAGGTTGTTCAGTGTTCGATCATCTTCCCGAGGCAAGTGAGTTAACTGACTATAAAAGTCCAGTTTCCACCCTTGTCGAACTAGGCTGGTATTATGGAGTTACATTTTGGCTGGACTAACGAGTCTTTGCATAGTCCAATCAAAATCTCGCAACGAAATCGAAATCCGGTTCGTAAACTGTCATGCAGTTTTCGGTCGATTGCAATATTTGCAAAGCATGTGCACCGCCAACTCGTTATCAACAGTTATTTTCCAAAACTTTTCATGTTTTTAATCAAGGTGTTCACGTGATTTGATGCACTTCGCGATGTAAGACCCGTTTTATCACAATATAGATCTTGATTATCGATCAGATCGTCTTGACTGGGCGCCGCCATTTTGTTTAAAGCAAATGCAAGTGATACGAGAGGTGGAATCTGATTGGTCCATAGGAGAGGCATAGAAGGGACATAACTCATAATAGCCACTGGTGGCGCTACGGTCGAGCCTAGAAATTCCAGCCTAGTTCGGCAAGGGTGGAAACTGGACTTTTAAAGTCAGTTAACTCTCTTGCCTAGGGAAGATGGTGTTCGATTTGTTACATACAACATTAAATTGCGAATTTATTTAAGGAAAGTTAGCTACGTGAATGTGGTATGGTTCAATATGTGGGTGTTCCACATGGTGTAGTTGCCTGAATTAGGGATGTTTCAGGTCACCGGACCTACGGTAAGTTTAAACGATTCATGAAAAAGTAATGAAGACCTTTTTGAGAAATCTTTGAAATTTTCTTCTGATAAACTAGAAGGTTTAATAGTCTTAAACGTTGATATGATATGTTGGAACAAAATGTGATTCATATTTTGTCCATAGCAGTAAATTCATTAAAAAAAAGATAAATCTTCAAACTTTGAACTCTTCTCCCCGGATACCATGAGGCCACACAAATCTGAGAGTAACTGTGTAGGACCATGATGTCATGTTCTTCTTTCTTCATGGAATGGAACTGACAATTACTGTAATTGAGGTATCCTTCAGTATTTGGAAATGTTAAATTTCATCTTATAGAAAGCAAAAACCAAAGAGAGCAGATAATTTATTCTTTGAAAGAATACCTAAAAGCAAACGTTTCTGTGGATAACACAACCAGGGAGCATCTATAGATAGCCTCTATAGATCTCCTTGCATAGCCACCCTGATACACCAAACAAGTTTACATTACGTACAGTTTTACGAACTTTCTGAAGCGATCTCAATGATTTTTTTCGGAATTCCAGCGATCACCTAAAACAAGCAATCTCATTTAAGTAAGATCTTAGTTATCACTAGCGCTAAGTAAAGATTTGAGGACATCCCATTCTGGGTCACGTCAGAACGATTTTTCGAGAACTTTGACCGATCAGTGAAATGTCTAACAAGGAGCCGACATTTTACAATCAGAAAGCAGCTTTCTTCTCGAGCTATACCACACTAGTTTCAAACTGGTGACTTCCATTCCAAGACTACACTTTGAAACATATTTTGACATAGTTATCGATTAAAATTTGATAGCTGAAAAAGAAAGAACATTCTTGAATGTCAAACAGATGACCTAGATCGTTTGGCTGTACTTCCCATGGGCTATGCAAAGTTTCCATCGTTCACCCATTAATTTTGACGGAATAAGTCGTGCAGCCGGTAATTGTCGTCCGGAATACATCGTGTTAACTTTTTCGAAGTTGCGTGATTATAAAACACATTCCGGCTGTGACTGTCCCGATCAAGTTAGCGACGCTCTTATTGGTCGGATAAAAGATCGTTCTGTCATGACCCGTAATGGGATGTGATCAGATCTTTGTTAAGCGGGAGTGAGAACTAAGATGTGATTTTACTGAGATTGCTGAAACAAATCAAATCCTGTTACCTCGAATCCGAATGTCTCGAAAACATTTTTGTTTCGAAACTAATTTCTCAAGCGCAGTCTCTCTGTCATCTCACGATGGTTCTTCATCTTTAGC